CGAAGGTCCGCAGTAGTTGTACAGTTTGTTGATGGCGATTAATACGTTTTTTGTCAACGTCGTTGGCTTTCCACTTTTTCCTTTTGTTGGGCTAGGAGTTTTGTGGAGCAGTAAAATGTCAATTTCGGGATGGCGTCTAGTGAGAAGATTATAACAGTTTTATGTCATAGTTTCAATTCATTGATGCGGCTTAGGGTTTTTTCTTCCTTTAGGTAGTGGCGTATGTTTGCAAGACTTCTAACTGCCCGACTTTCTTCCTAGATTGTGGCTGTCTGTGCTAAACGTTCTATGTGCAGTAGTATAGCGAAGCTGCTTTGTAAAGTGCTTTCTGTTGACTGCAGTGATTGTAGCTGTTGCTGCATATGATAGACACGACTGCATCTATACATCTTTCACTGATTTATTGTCAGTTGCAGTGGCATTGTGGAGTGAGAACGTGGGATCCCAATCCATAATACTGATACGTTCATTAATTGCGTTCTCATCAACTTGATAAATGATTGTTAACATTGTGCTTTATGGCATAGGTGATTCATTGGTCACGTTACAAAGCACCATGTTCTTGTTGGAACCAGGCGATCAATTATCAATTAATGCATAGGCGGAAGGGATTCTCATGCGGAGTGTAGATCTAAGATTTTGCTAGCTCTGTTGGGCTTTCTGGTATGTTTAGTCCGGCCACTTCAAGTTTCGCTAATCCTGCTATCGTACTGGTATCTCACATCAAAAACACTTCTGTTGTATTGACACTCCGCTGCTGTATATATTCTCCAGCTGTCCTTTACCAAGTACATTTTGCATATGATAACTGTTGTGTCGCCGCCGACTGTTCACGCACCCACGACCGCAGGAAGAACACGAAGATGAGCCAGGACCGAGTTCCTTTATACGAGTAATCTGCTCATTTAAATGGTATACAGCAGTAGTTGAATCCAGGTTACTAAAACACGTTGGAGCCAACCATCAACTTAGGAGACTGAATAATGCAGCCGAATGATAAGTGGTAAACGTAAGAACCATTCCGGCGAGGTCGAAGAAATGGCATTGGCGGAAAGAGACCCCTGAGATGGCATCCGTTTCGAACGACGTGAGTCGGCCAATCGACTCAGTGAATTGATGCGTTTAACCAAATGCCAAGAACCCAACGGTAGCGAAACACAAGCAGATAACTAAGAATTGTAACAAAAAATATATGTCCACTTATCAACCTCCTACCACCTCCCACTTCTTCAAAGTTAGTTTCCTGAGGGATGTGTAGCTTTTCTTTCGAGGTCCACTTGGAATAGCTGAACGAGTCGTCTTCCCCTTTTCGGTCTCCCTTGTGTTCCATTTTCCGGATTTTTCAAAGGTTGTGTGCATTGTCCGGCGAAATCCGTCGGTCTGCCATTGTCCAGTATTTCAGTAAAATCAAGTCCGTTGGTGTAAGATGTCACTGTGTTCTCCATGTAGCGCGGCCTCATTTGATTGGCGTGGCGGATCCACACCTGCGTACCGACACGGATCTCAAACATCGCCAGACCAAGGTGTCGTACGACGACTCCAGGTAACCATTCGATAATGTTTTTCTGCTGAGTGACGACAAACACCTGGGCTCCGACTTCAAAATCCGCGTGCCGTACTCCATGTCGTCTATTGCACTGGGTTTCCAGTACGGCATTCGTAGGACACGTCGGTTGGCGTCTGGGGGTCAGTAAGTCCAAAGTTGCTCTTATCCTTCGGTCCATAAGCGTTTCCACAGGTGACTGCCCGTCTGGTGCATCTGGATTCTGAGCAACTCGATAATTCACTAAGAATGTCTCTAGCCTTTACTCTAGTGACTCTTCCCTCTTCGATCGCAACAGCGCTCGTTTCATCGTATCCACAAATCGTTCGGCCTGTCCATTAGATTGCGGGTGATATGGTGCAGTCCTCAGGTGCGTGCACAAAACTCAGCAAACTGATGAGACGTGAAATGGGACCCCTTTATACTACACAAAGGTTTCCGTTATGCCATGCTGGCTTAAAATGTGTATCAGTGCGTATAGTGTACTGGTTACTGACGTGTTCTGTATCTTGGTTACTTCCGGCTACCTGCTTTAGGCATCGACATTTATAAGGAACGAAACGCGTTCAACCGGTCCCTCAAAATTTACATGAATCATTGACCATGGTGATTCCGGCGTGGGCCAAGACTGCAATGTTGCGCGTACCGGCAGCTTGTAAGCATATGCGCATCTTGAAACAGTACGACCAATGTTCTCTATCTGGTAGCCAATTTTCGGCCAAAAGACGTAGCTCCCAACTAATTCCTTCATTCGGGCAACTTTCGAATGACCTTTGTGTTGTCTTGAAACGCGTTTCCACAGGACTTCACGTATGATGATGCGATCTGCAAAGAACAGACAGGAGTCAATTTCTGAGAAAGAATCGCGTTAAATCTAAAAGTGCACAAGTTCTTTTTTCCGACCTTTCTTTGTCCAGTCATGTCTAATGTAGGCCAGGACTTCTTGTAGCAGCGGATCACGTCTTGTGGCTTGTTGAATCAACTTGGCATTTACCGCTAGGGTGTTCACGGCATCGAGCACCATATAACTAACATCTATTTCAGCTGTGATTGCGGCAGTGCCTGCGTCCTCGGGTTCGCGCCTGTCGGTATCGATTAGTCTTGATAGAATCAGTTGACAAATATTTCGTGGTGAAATCATAACTCAAGAGAAACTTTGCCCATCGCTTTGATCGATTGGCTGTGTATGCCGGGATACCTATCTTGGACCCGAAAATTGCGAGAAGCGGCTTATGGTCCGTTAGCAGTGTGAAGCGTCGTCCGTACAGCATTTTGTGCAACTTCTGAACAGCAAAGACGATAGCCAATACCTCCTTCTCAATCTGCTCATAATTATTTTCAGCTGCCGTAGGAGCTCGTGCAGAGTGTGCGACAGCTTGTTCTGAACCGTTCGGAAAATGGTGGGAAATGATGACCCCAATTCTATTGCTGGTAGCATCCGTGGCCACGACAATTTCCAGCCTCAGGTCATAGTGAATAAGCAGTAGATCCAACTTTTCCAATCGGTCCATCACCTTTATATTATCTGGATCTGGTCTTCAACCGTGCTGATCAATCACAAAGCACAGGAACTTGATATACCTCAACAAAAATTCGCATTTCTCTTTGCGCAAATGGTAAGCGTAACCTTTGATTCTCAGCATCACCTTATCCAATCGCTGATGCAGTTCATCTTGCCCCTGGACCATTATGATAATGTCATGTAGATAGGCTGCGGTCCCAGGTACGTCGGTCAGCATGGTGTTCATAACTTGTTGCAAAATTTGCAGGTGCTGTGTTGACACCAAACGGCAGTCGATTGTATTGTTAGAGCCGGCGATGCGTTTCTGGTGACGGCGTTTTGAACAAACATGTCAATTTCATTCAAACAGATGCAGTCTCTCCTCCGGCAACAGCAATTACATTTTGAAAAGTCTCCGTAGCAGTTACTTGGATTGTTATCAGAAAAAATTGAACATCCAATTGGATTGGGAACCGGGACCCAGGTTGACGTCACATGAAATTGAATCTGAATGCCATAGGCTGCTCACTTTGAACATGACACAAAACAATGGAAGTTTCCGATTCCAGAAGAGAATCTCAATCCTGTCATACAGTTATTCGTGGTGAACATTTGAACCGTGGTGTGCCGGACCGCAAGCCCTAGACAGCATCTTGGAACGGTTGTGAGAGGCAATCCGTGAGTGACCGCGTCTACAAGACTATTCATTCTCTAGAAGTACGTAAATTCAGGCGCGTGCCTACTTCAAGCGTGCAAGTCTGCTCCAAACTGAAAAGGACCAGAGTCCACAGTGCATCAAGATTTTCAGGGAAGAGAAGACACTTGACAGTGAAACGCGATTGTGTTCCGGTGTCGCTGAAACCACAAACAGTTTCTGCTATCACCATCCTTGACGATCACCATCCTTGAGGCATGAGCAAAACTTGACAAGTCGTCGGTCAAGTTAACAAAACTCAGCCTAGAACACTCCAGGTGAACTGCTACAGGAAGACAGAGTGATTCCCTATGAACGAAAACTCAAGGAACAGCAACTCCTGGGAAACATTTACCTAGCCTCAGGTACCGACATTAATCTGTCTGAAGTGGAAGTAATCCAGAAGTTATACTTGGTTAGTGAGTCACCGAGATACGTACTGTCTTGCACTAAAGGGAATACATATCCCGAATACTCCTGTGCTGACAGCTTACTCGAACGAACGACATTTTACACTTGTCCTGAGCCAGAACCACCTTGGTGTTGAATGCATGTGGACCCAGGCGGATTCTGTCGTCCTAAGAGCTACACTCTCCCCAGGTAATTCATTTCTTCAAGAAGGCAGAGGTGTTGTAGTGGTGGTAAGAAAACTCCACCACTCCCAGTTGTTTTTGAGTTTGTCCCACACACCCCAACTCACCTCTACTCATTTCATCCCCTTTTACGGTTCCCCACATGCGTTTTCTGTTGCGTCACATTTGGTACTAGCTCGTGTTGACACTGAATCTTATACTTATTGGCTTTTCTCTTACTCTATGCATTGCACTCGTTCTTGGGACACCGTATCGATCCTTCGCCCCTAAAATGACCATCCTTGATTGAACGAATGTCAGTTTTCTGCATAGCCTTTGTATATGCCCTGATTTGTATTATGCCGTTGATTTGGATTCACGGACGCTTGGTGGCCGGTTGGGTGTGCGTGTTGGTGTGTGTGTGTGTCTGTGTAACATAGTTTTTCTACCCTAATTGCTGTGCATGTTCTCACTACCGTAAGCGGGCGGAAAGCAGTCGTTGGGACTCCGACACAATAATAACCCTTCCACACATCTCAGCGTTCAGTGTGCTTACACCGTATCACTCATACAATATGTGGCGCAAAATTGCTCTGTCTTCCCCATCCTTGTTGCTTCGTAATGGTTCCTTCCATGTTCTATCCCCATCGGCTTATACATCATGCCTTATCTTTTTTTTCCTTTTGATAGACGTACGCCCAAATCATGGACTCATACTCTCTACTGACAGCTTTTCGACGTATCGGCAATATGTCAATATCAACTATATGATGATCACTGTTGTTCTCCCTTTTTCTGTGTGTGTGGGATTCATCTAAGCTCCCTCGCGATTCATTTCGTTATCCATGCAACATAATCAGATACTATTCGACAAGCATTTTCTCTCGGCTTATTTTGACCACCAATTTTGGTGTATGAAATAGGGATTACATCAGACAATCATTCTAATCACACTGTAAATCATCTTTACCACGAATCGCACGAGTGGACACTGTCTAAGCGATAGCAGAAACCGGATGGCACACAGACCCCACAGTTTGAGCGAAAATTGGCAAAAAAAATTCATCCTCTTCTGCGCAACCGCAATCTAACCCGCGCTCGGAGTTAACTCATTCCGAGAGGGATGTTTTCAGACGTCAATCAAATGGCGAGTCAGCTCATACATTGTGTGTGTCGGGTGTATGTGCACCTATACATATCTTAGATTACCGGGCAATGCACAGAATACAATTCTTTGGTGACGGCATCAAATCGCGCCTTATGAGAACACAAATGGGGGTAGGAGTGGACAAATTCTCCTCCTGCAAGTTATTTCACACAATGCATACTATTATCATTCGCTGTTTAATGGGAACTAGACTTACAAGCAAATTGCTCAATAATAATGAAGGCTCATTGCTCGCCGTTGCGGAAGATACCCATTGTGAGCACTGAACGAGCATTACCAATCAATTCTACACAGCAAATTATCGTCATATTGTGTTTTGGTCGAGCGACTGAACTAAATTCGTGACTAAATGGTTGTCGCAAATAACCGAAGGAATTTGGATTCAGCGTGTACTTCATGCCTCTTCGTGTAAACAAAGCTCACTATATAGTGCAGCAATTTCAAATCGACATTCGATGCGGTCTTTCAATGTGGCTGTTAAACTTTATTCCAAAATTATGGTCGGCAACACACAAATATACTGACATGCGTTTTTGGGCTTGGCGTCACAGCACTGGAATGATCTCTGTTGAAATCTCAGCTTGGGGGTTGCAACCTCCGACTTTGTCGTTCATCAGAGTTGATTATCATATCGTCAAATTAAGCTTTATGTGCCCAAATGGGCGCATTTCCAGCGACTTTGGATGGCCTAAATGACATCATTAGAAATGTAAATTTATCTGAGTGAAGAGAATGCTGTGTCTAGACGTCGCATGAATAAACCTTCCGGCAGTAGCAAGCAACGATGATGACTTACTGGACAGAACGAACCGAATTTGCATTCTGTTGTCAGGACAGCGTCGAAGGCTAGTTTTCCGTCCCCACTTTACCGAAATATTTCTGGATAATGAATCGAGTGCAACGCGCAACATCATGCGAATTTTTTTAATAACCGAAGCACAGCAATGGGGACCTTAGAAATAATTTAACCCACGACAATTTCAAAAATTCCGGGTAATCTGATGCATCCGCATTGGACGCTGTTAAAACCGCGTCCCCATAAAAATCGCAACGGCCGATTTAAAGACCCTGCCATCGGGCTGGTGTAATTCGTTTCGTGTCCCCAAATGCGAGTCGGATTTGCCGCATGCGTGTGCGTGACGCTTCGGATTGCGCACGGGCGTCCTCCCTCATGCACTGTGTGCTATCGAAACAGGTTGCTTAGGCGACTGATAGTCACCGTCATTGTCTCCTTTATCTTCTATGCTTTCATCTACCTTCGTAGATCTGCTGCCTCCAAGATAGCCACTCCATACCCGACTACGAGCGTGTCAATTTATGCACTGTCCGCGACAGCATCGCCGTTAACGCCTGATATTTCACGAGTTCATTTCTGCCGCACGTGTGCGTGACTAGACGCTGACTGCCCCCATATACCTACATTTTGGCCTCCTTTTCATGTACGCTCGTTGTCATGACAACACGTTTGAAGATCTTAGTTTATCAGAACAAGTCGTCCATGTAATTCTCAGACATTTACGAATAGTTTCGCGTATGGCGTTCGCCTTCGTATTCCCATTTAGCGCATTTCACCGGTTGCCCCAACTGGTCTGTGCTTTTAATCGTCAAGTTCACCCCACCGACTCTCCACTTCATGTTAGCAGTAAAAAGACCTGCAACCGGTCACGCGCACACAGCCTAACGTGTCCAGCCACTCGTCCTAAGCAACAAATGTCAACTCGCCGATGTTTGTTTTTATCCCCTTTCGATATTGGATGGAATCATGGTGGTCATCGACGAAAATACCTATTGAACGGTCGTCCTTCATTGGAATTCTGAATGACGCGCATGATAATGTTCCTGAGACGCCGGTTCACCGTTGATTTATGCTTCCGCACCAGTTTGCACACTGAAATTCGGATACATGCCCAGCGATTCGAATCGGTTGGTCTAGTTTGGTCTAGCGACTCCGGTTATCTTGCTTCATACGAGCAAATCGCACTAATTAAGATGGACGTGCTGATCAAAGGGAAGTATGGAGGTTAGTTTGAGCGAAGCCGATGCGAATTCTATGAAGCTTCGTGTAGAGGCTACTCTGTCCTCTGCACGGCAGTAACGTGCAAGGCAATGCATAGTGAACAGTGCTATATCGCGTCGCTTTTTACCCTCCCCTGTTACTCAGTGCTCCTAAACACAGACTGGCAATAGTCACGCTGCGAGCTCTAGCCCTACAGCGGCAGATGAAATGCGCACTGCTGACGATTCCCGAAACGATGAAACGGTCGTACAGTGCTTTTCCGGGCGTGTGCTGGCCGCCTAGATGTGATGCATTTCCACTTGTATCATTCAGATCCCCCTACTACTCCTTTGTCATCCTGAGATTGTTCACGTAATGCTTCCGGAAGTGCGTTTTCCTGCTCCACATCTTTGGCTACCTGTGAATAGGGGCAGTTAATGTAATTAATTCAGGTGACGTCAACATAAGTTTTATACACCCATATGAACGCATTTTTAGCACTAAACACAATCACTGCGGCTACAGTACAACATGACAAATTAAAACGAAGACAGGGTGCACTACACCCGCTGATACTCGTAACAAGTATGGCAAGATAGAGTTGCGATTGGACGAGGTGGAAGGAAATAAAACTCTTAATGCCCACTTCGTACAGGGCGTAGGTACTTACCGTGCTTGTTAGAATTGTGTGTAGAGGATGAGAAGGGTCGTTTAGAATTCTAACTGGAATTTGGTGCAAGTATCGCAATGTTTGCAACGATAACGTCTAAGATGGATTATTTCCTTAATTCAATGCATCGGGGCATACATTCTAGTGAGCGTACAAATGGAATATATTCTTTTTAAAATGTCTGATAGGATTAACATGGGAATAGTATAACCAATGAGTGCGAATTTTAGCAACTATAAACTTTGGACCCAAAGCACAGGGTACAGACAGCATTTTAAACCTGATAGGGTAAGATGACCGTATTCGGACTATTTTAAATTTAAAGTATAGGTGTAGACCGGAAGAAACTGTGACACAAGAAAGCGCCGAGGTATTTCACGGTAGATGCATGGGGTACGCCAAAGGATGAAAATTGTTTACTAGATGTTGCAGCTTATCGGAACGTAGGTTTGACAGTGTTGCGCCTTAACATTTGGAACGGTTAGGTGGGTGAGATCGGAAGTTCGAGCAGCTTCAGTGGTTGGGACTGGGGCAAGGTCATCGACGCGCTTGCGTTCACTGAAATTGGATGGTAAAGCGATTTCAACGTCACACAAAAACCATCAATGGACACATTGGCTACCTGAAAAATGCCATCACCGCATAATTGCGTGAAGTGCGTACGATTTGTGAGCTAATCACGCATCGGATTTCATACATTTGGTTGGATTTCATTTTCTTACAAAGGGTGGAAAGGCAAAGAACAAGAATGGTAAGGTCTTCATTTTTATATACAATGCATATACAATAGAATGCACAAGACAGTAAACGACATGCAGGATAGGACGCCATGGCCTAAACAAACAGATAGCATCATTATGGTTGCCTGCGAAAATACGAGGGATGATTTGTGTTTCAAGCATCTTCACCTGGACGGACATGCGCGCAATTTTACGGGACACTTCTGCGGCTCTCTCTTAAGTACTGGCTGCTTTCCAGATATTGGCAGTGGTGCGAAAGATTGTAGTGTACCTTTCACATTTTATTACATAAGCTTCCGGTCAGCTGATAATATCACCAGCTGTATCGACTATTCTTTCAAAACACTTCTACATCGATCAACATTCCTTTTGAATAGCCGGCTGACTCTAGACTACCTCGTGTACAACATCTGGGAGCTCCAAATATACATTTATGGGAATACACGTATTCAGTCCACTTTGGCATCCAAGAATGACGGGTTATTAAACAATGAACTCCGCAACCAAAAAGGCGTTACCAAAATACGATAAGTGGACCGCCGACAAGATGACGATTAAACGGATGAATAGAAATCCACGAGAACGAGCGGGGAGTGAAATTGGCACGGGCATCATGGGCATCAGACGGCGCAACGCAATTGCATCAAAACGAGGTGGTTGCGAGCGATAAACATGGTGGGCCTAAGCCAAGGATAACAAAGCTATTGGTCGAAAGGCAAATAAATCTATAAAAGCGCATTTGGCACTGCGTCGAGGAGTAATCCCAAGCAGAGTAAGGCAACTGTGATCAAGAATATTAACATCCTTAGAACGACTACAGACTAGTCAAAATGCGAGTTACCGAAGCAAGCATATGGGGTCAAACAGGTAGGCAAAACCCACTCACTTGCGTTTAGTTTGTCCATCTTTACATGACCCAGTGGGCTGCAGCGTTCTTGTCACTATTACTACTACGACGTCTACAGCCCAAATCGACTGTGCTCATTTAAAACATACGTAACATGCAAGATGCTTGAGCTTCATATTTCGGATTTTATAGCCGTAGACAAATATTTGTCAGTGCAATTGAGCAATGGTTTATGCCTTGTATATAAACGAATGCTTATCATGTCTGGTAGGATAGTTATGGTGAACTTTTTTAGAAATTACAGTAAAACGGGGTCAGTGGAAGTTCGTGTGACCTACATAACACACCAA